ATCTTAAAAAACAGGGTAATTTAAAAAAAAAAAAAAAAGGCAACAATCCAAGCTGGTCGTTATCACTGAGTCACTTTTCAACATAATGGAGCTCAAACGCTCTTTTATCTACAAAGCGACACTCATTAAATTTGGTGAGTTTAAAACAAAAGTGTCTTTATGAGTATTTCGAGATAATTACTCTAAGAGAAACATAGACAGTGGATACAGAAAAGAGGAAGTTAATGCACAAAACAATTAAAATGATATCTCTCAGGTGTCTTGAGAAAGCAATCAAAGCCCATTGCATTCACATAATAAACTAAAACTGAGGAAAAGAAATTAAAATTTGGTGCAGCTGCAAGTTGTAAGAAGAAGACCAACATTCACATGTTTATTGCAGCGTTACATAAGTTAATTGAATTATGAGCATTCACTTCCTTAGCCATGTTAAGAACCACGACTATTTGATTGTTTGATAGCAAAATTATTAAAGTAGACCATTACATGGCAGCACAACTAGGCATTCTGAAAACCTATCATCAGAATAAGGAAGAATAAAATATAATTGACTTTGAAGGTGTCATGACTGTTGGTGCCAGACGTGCAGGTCTGAGTGTTTCAGAAAATGCTGATCTGATGGGATTTTCATGTACAAGCATCCCTCGGGTTTGCAGATGACTGTCTGATTGCTGTGTGAATGGAAATGTCTTGTTGGTGTCGGGGAAAATAGGTCAAGAGGATATGAAGGCAACAGTAGCTCAAACATCAACATCTAAACCCTGTGAAAATCACACCAAGTAACTCTCCTGTCAGCTAAAAACAGGAAACCGAGGCTACAGTTCTCCAAATTCAGAAAATTACAGATTAGATAAATGTTACCTGGTCCAATAATTTTTTTTTTATTTCAGGTGCGACATTAAGATTCCAGAGCCAGAATTTGGTGTAAATAGTACTGCGACTAGCGACCTGTCCGGGGTGTTCCCCACCTCTCGCCCTTTGACCTCTGGAGATAGGCACCAGCATCCCTGGTAACCTCTCCAGGGATAAGCCTGTAAGATGATGGATGGATGGATGGATGGATGGATGGATGGATGGATGGATGGATGGATGGATGGATGGATGGATGGATGGATGGATGGTGCTGCTTTGTGTCAATGGCTCAGCTTTGAGAAATCCCGATTATTTGATCATGTTCATCCTACAGTTTACCCATCATCTGACGACTGCTTCCAATGCAATAACGCACTGTGTTGAAAAACAAATTCATTTGTCCTAGTTTTAACTTTATTTTTGTCGGTATCTGCCCCTTTGCTTTGACTTCTCAACAAACAGAACACATTTTCAGTTCTGAGAGAGATCCTGCTGTTGAAGCTCGTACAGGAGTGGAGCTGCTCATCCAAAACAAAAACCACTCAGGGGAGAAGATACTTAAAATATGTTTTCATACATACAGTGGAGTCAACATATTTAGTCATTCAGGGAATACGGGTTTTTTGGATTTCGATTTCACCGGTGATGGTATCTTTCACATAGACCCAGAACCTCCAAACAGCCTGAGCAAGTGGCTTAAGAGGAAGGATAGATGTTATACATTTCTAATATAATCTAAAAAGATTTCAGTCAGGATAATAATTTATTTTCCACAAGCCAGTCTTTGAATTTGCTGATTTATGATGGAGAGCTTTGAACACAAATGTTCCTGCTAAATGTTTTACATGTGAGAATGACAACATCTCTAACTTTTGCAATGGTATAACAGAGATGATAAAAATAACTTTAAAAGCTAAACAATTTTTTTTACAAATATAATAAAGTGAAATAAATAAAAAAAATCACATTTTCGCGCTGAAACTGCTTCAAAATTCTAAGCTTGATCAGACTGAGCCTGTTGCTGTCTGTTTAATCATCCCCCTTTGTGGCTGTGCCTCTCCTTAGCTTTGTGTGCTGTGAGTAGCCGGGCTCCAGGGTACATCATGGAGTGTGAGAGGCACAGTGGAGATAATCAGCACTGGAGGAACTGGGGCTCCCACTGCCAGACACCAAACATCCAGTCCATCAAACGCATCAGGCACCGAGGAGCCTCGTATCGAGACCAGCAGCAGGTTGGACTTGAGCAAAAGAACCCCTGAGCTCGACCTCAGTTTGGTTCAGAGGGCTTTGGACCATAACTACAACACAAACCATGTGGGATCTAGCATCTACCTCCCAACCCCACCCATAGTTTCTTTGTTTTAAGGAATATTTTGATTTTGTACAAGTTAAATAAAGTTTAGGCTGAGCAGATAAATAGTGCGGACATGCAGGAATGTGTTTTGACATTTTGCACTGAACTTCACATAATATTTTTGCACACTGTTACCTCAGTATTGAGCCAGAATGATATCAGAGTCTGAACATTAAAACTTAAACCACGGCTTCAAATATGAGGAGGCATCAGAAGAAAATGGAAGAACATGTTGCCAAGCATGTACAGGTTTAGGGGCCACTGTGGATGAATTCAGCAAGTTTTATTCTGTTACACATAAAGAAACTTTTGAGAAAATACCTAATCATTCAAAAAGATATTATAAACACCTGATGCATATAGAAGAAAAAGAAAACATATAGATAAATAAGCTTCTTTCTCAGTTGTTTTGTTATTCTAAGTACTGGCAACTGACAACACAAAGAGTGGGACCAATATTCTTAAAAGAAAGAAAAATTAGCTTCTCATTTCTAATGACTAATTTATGTACTATATTTCTGCAGATCATCACAGCAGACAGGCTTATTAAAACATAAAAAGCCCCATGAGCATCCTTCGGTAAACTGTTTTTATTCAGCTGTGGATTCATGCAATAAACATCTGCTTAATGAGCATTTCTCGCATTGCAAACGGTCACGAATCCTGTCTCGAAGCGAAACTAATTAACTTTAATAGCTGCACACAAAACGGAGACAGGTGTCTCAAGAGTAACTTAAACAATTTTTGATTCGCAAAAATTAGTGAGTATTATAATAATAACTATGGAGCAAAAATAGATCATTTGTATTTAGCATAATCTTCCACCTTCCCTGATTTGTATCAGCTTGTGCTCATTGTGCTTTTTTTACACATGTAATTATCTTTAGATTGTTTTTGTTTTATTTATTGTTTCAGTAACAGCGGTATCACTTGTTGCTCCTCTCTGTCTCTAGTCTCTCTTAAAGAGAGTTAATTTCAAACGGCCTAAAGAATAAGACAAACTTATTCTTTAAGAGTTTATTTTAGGAGAGATCAACCATCAACCATCTGATCCGCTCTTCTTGATTAAACAAGTGAACTCTCTGTCCTTGTTATGTGAATGCTGGTATTTGAACATACTCTGAAAGTTGATTTGAGGAATAATTTTTATCTCGTTCTTTACTTGCTGTTCTTCAGAGTTTCCATGGAGATACGTGTTTTTTTTTTTTTTTTTTTTTTTTTTTTACCCACTTAATTTTAAAAGAGGGTGAATAGAAAACACAATGCACATCTTGTAAGCAAAACGTAATCGCTTTCATCTATTTTAAGCTCCTGCTTCAGTGTCTGGAGAAAAGAAATATCAGTAAAGACAACAGCAACTATATATTATTGCAAACTCTCAAATATATGGGGAACAGTGCAATAAGGATGTTTCTCAGTTCACTAAAATACGTGTTGTGCAACAATCAATCAATCAATTGTGCATAATAGTTAATACGCCACAGAATATAGATAACATGTTCAGGTATAAATTCAATCTCAAATTGACCAAGAAATGTGATCTCCTAGTGTAAAACCAGCCAACCAATTTTTTTTTTTTATTTTTTAAATCCAGCCAATAATGTTTCCTTACAGAAACAGAACCTCGCTTGGAGTGGGACAGATTCATCATTGGAAGCACCTGCGCTTCACTGCAATGACATTGAAAAATCTCCTGCAGAACAAAACATCTCTATAAGACCTAACAGCAGGTCTAAAAAAAACAAAAAGCAAAAAGCCAACTTGTCGTCATTAACAGGATATTTCTGCACTCCAGATATTTTCCCGTCGCAGCAGGAAAGATTCAGGCATAATGAAGGACATTAACAATAAATCTGCTCTACTTTATCGCTCAGAATGTGATGACGGCATTACAAAGAATAAGCACAATATCTGGACCAAAGCTGCAAATTAATGTTATTATCTCCCCTCGGTGATTTTCTTCCTGTGACAGGTCAAGCCTTCATCTGGGAGAAGGGAGGCCATTAGGTATAATCATACAGCACACACAAAGCTGTTTCTGCGTCACGGGAAAGACTGAAACTGCACTTTTTGAATGAAAACTTTTAACACTTTTCAATAGTTGGATAGATAAATTCAAGTGCAGCTTTTCAGACTAAATCCAGTCAGTGATACAAGTTAGATGCCCCTTGCAGCATTTAAAAATCCTGCAGAGTTTAGTGTCTGTTTAACTGTGGACAGATCACCAGTCCATCACAACATGCACGCACACACACACACACACACACACACACACACCTACACACACACACTCACCCATTCAGACCTATGTGTAATTGTGAGAGGTGAGAACCCACATATGTACCGGGAGAAGAGACAAACTCCACAAAAAGAGACCCCACAAAATCAAGTATTTGTTTTCTACTTTCTAGAGCAAATATCTTAGTACAATTAACTTTTCAGGGTAATATAGATGCTTGTTTTAAGTCAATAACTCCTTAATACTGATGGAAAAGTACTAGTGATAAATGAAATAATCTGCCCGTGGAACAAGACATTTTCCCTACAAGTTAAATGTTTTTTTTATTGTGTTTTTGCCATGCCACAACCTCATTGCTGTTCTAATCAGGAGTTTGAGTTCTCTTTGAACAGTGTGTGTGCCTGTGTGTGTGTTTGGAAATACAATGTTTTCTATAGTTCAACACAGAAATCTGTAGCGGAACTTGTTTGCAATAAATCACCTCAGCTGTTTATTTGCTTGGTGTAGACGAATCATTGCACTTTTTTAGAAAATGAGTGTAGCTTCATTTACGCATTTTTGCAGATTTTATGAATTTTCCAATGGCAATAAAAGCTGCTAACTAAACAGCCATCCTTCTTGGTTCACCTTAGGAACTGCTGAATACTGAACTGTATTAAATCTAAGGGCACATTCATATTTTTCTCTGCTATCCTTCACATTCAACAGAATAAAGCAGGCTCTCTTAAAATTGCTGCTGTTAATACAAAGTTTTCATGCTGCTATTCAAATGATAAAATCAATTGCTAATTTTTTTTATTATTATTATTCAAATCTGTCTCTTTCAGATCTTTCTTTTACAGCCAAGTACTCCGCAGATTCAACAAAAGATCCTGCTCATCGACAGCTCTGGTAAACATGGAGCGCAAATTGAGCGGATAGAAAACTGAAAGCATTGTGCTCTAAATTGTTGCCCCCCTGTAGACAGAACATGTTAACAAGAAACATACAGTCTCATCCAAAAACATCAAAATTACATAAAAAAAACATACATTTAAGATAAAAAAAGATTTTAAAACTTTCCTTCCAACAAAATTTTATAAAACACTGATATCTGAAAAATATGTGTTTTTTATCTCTAAGGCTTTATCACCCTTAAAGACTGTCATGGCCTCCTCAAGGCAGCTGCTTAGGTTAAAAATAAGAAAAAAAACATGCATAAAACTGTGTATGAATTTTAAGCATCTGCTAAGATACATGTGGTTAAGAAACTGAAGAGATATGCAACTGTAGACTCAGAGTGTGATCAAGCATTGGAAAGTACAGCCCTCAATATACTGCAAAATATTTCTACACATGTAAAAATATAACATTTTAAGACATGAGGGGGAAAACATCTGTTTGCCCATAAACTTATGAACATTTTTATGTTTAAAAATCGACCAAACAAGAGCTGTAGTTCCTTGTTAAGGTGCTTATTAGCAGGGAAATTGTCCAGACTTCATCAACCAGAACCTTTAATGTATTTCCTTAGGATTTGATGTGATAGACCAACACAAAGTATCACATAATTGTGAAACAAACAATCACCATGGTGAAGCATGATGGTGGAAGCATCATGCTGTGGGGATGCTTTTTTTTCCCAGAAGGGGCAGTTAAACTAATCAGAGGTTGTGGGATGACGGATGGAGATGAATGTGGGGCAACAATGTGAAGTAAAAGTGTTGGTCTGTCACATAACACACCAGAGAAATACATAAAAATGTGTAAAATGTCGAGGCGTATGCCACCTTCCCACTCCAATGATCTGAAAAAGGCAAAGCTGGCCGCACTAACCAGCTCTTAGGACGATCCACAGACGATTCTACCCAGATGTGACCATAATGCAGAACGTTTCGCTGCTCAAGGCCTTCTTCCCTTTGAGCTTTAAACATATAGCCAGTTAACATTATGGTAGCGTAGCGCTTCCACGTGTTCCTCGTTCTTTCATTTTGTCATATCTCCCTCCCGTCGTCCTCCGCGTGGGCCCCCCGACCTTCGGCCCCTCTTCTCCGGGCTCCGGGCGAGTCAGCGCCCTCGGCTCTGGCGTCCCGGCCTCCTTCCTCCCTGTCCCCTGCTACCATCTCCTCCACAACGCGCTCATCCTCCTCCGTCCGCTCTTCCTCGTCTTCGTCGTCATCCTCCTCGCTTCCCTCTGAATCTGACTCATCAGAGTTGTCCTCTTCCAGGTAGCGGTAGCCTTTCACCTGAGGGTAAAAACAGACGCTTTTATTTTTACTCTCCACTTGGATGTCTTTACAACCTTGCCATGATTTTAAGACCTCAGTCACTCCTGCACAAGCAGATGAACAAGTTTTCATGTCTGCATTAGGAGGCATCAGGAGCATGAAACAAACAGAAAGGATGAGACTTTTCCAGTCTGAATGCACCGTCTCATGAATGATTTAAAATCACCACCAAGCTTCTCACAACAGTTTGCTGGAGTTCTGGTCCTTTGTTCACATACATCTTTTCAACCCTGTCCTCAAATTTTGAGTTCATGAGTTCGGTACTTTGTGATGACGACTCCAAAAATATTGACCCTGTTATCTTTAAGCACATTCGTAACCGATGTGGCTCCACGTTTAGTCTATTTGAAAGACACAACTGAACCCACGCTCCATCTTCATGGCAGATGTCTCTACATTTGTCTCTGCGGTTTTGTGAAGTGCACCAGTCCCTCCTGCAACAAAGCAGCCCCACGGTACGATGCCAACACCTCTGTACTTATTTTAAATAAGACATTTGTTTCAACTGAAATCACACTTCATGTTCTGTTCTCAGTTTGTGTTTCACACAGGAAGATCATGAGAGGTACACAGCCTCTTACTTCATTTTCCTGTGTTAAAAAGTATTAACTTCTGTTTAACACCCCGAGGCAAACATGAGGAAACTGAAAACAAGCATTAGTCTCAAGGACTAACTAATCTGGATTATCACTACTGCAGATAAGATTTCAACTGCTTACGTTTACGTTATAAAATCTGTGCTTTCCCTTTAAGTAGCTGGACATGCGCAGAGAGATGGGTCACCTTGTGTCTTGGCCGAGGGATGCGAGGCATTCTGGGCTTCACTTTCTGTGCCACGCGGCGCTCCATCACCCAATAACAGTAGCACGCCAGTAACAACGTAGCCAGCAGGATGGACAGTTTAGCCTAAGAGGCAAAAGGATTAATAAAATGACAAATATTAGCATATAAAATTACATCCAGGAAAACACTACTAGCTAAAACGTACCCTCATGGGCATCTGGGACCAGAGGTAGACAACAAAGATGGCGATGGCCTGCCACCAGTGGTAGATGGTGTAGATGAAATCCAGGCGCTCTTTTTCCTCAGCGTACAGAAGGCCGACAACAACTGGGGCACACAGAGACGATCATACGAGAAAAACCATTTTAAGGGCAACACAAGAATTCAAAATCCTTTTTAAAAAGCATCTAAGTTAGGATCAATTAAGAATGTTAAGAGTGTATTAGTGTTTTTTAATGTTAGCCTGTTTAATATTCCTATTATCATTAAAAATACGAAACCAAACGATCTACAGTGAAAAGAGTGGCTGTGCTGTGACTAGGGCCGCAACTAACAGTTATTTTATTTGATTGATCTATCAATTATTATTATGATTAATGGATTAATTGGATAAAAAAAAACAAGAACGTTCTGCAGATTTTTAATTTAACCATTTAACCCTTTTTTTACACAGTATTAGAAATACATACAAATATGCAAATACAAATAAATTAATTTTTTCAATAAGAAAATAAATGTAGAGTGAAGCAAAAAATACACAGACAGATAGATAGAAATAATTTCAGTAGTCGATTAATCGTTTAAGCCCTAGTTATGATGTTGGCTGGATGATCACAGATACTCACTGCTGACCCCTGTCTTGTTCAGGGCGCTGCCGAGTCCCCACAGCACCGTGATCCCCAGCAGGGGACCCAGATACTCCGGTGAGTTTGGCTTAACAGTCAGAGCGAGGAGAACCACCAGCAGGACTCCATGCACCGCAGCGCCCCCCATCAGACACACCCATCGTGGGAGGCGCAGGAGGCTGAGAGAGAGGAGGGAGAACACGGAGCAGGAGAGGCCGTAGACCAGGATGAGGAGCCAGAGGGTTTTTATGCCCAGAATGCAGACGCCATAGGACTGTTGGGGCGGGGGTTGGGGGGGAAGATAATTATACAATTTATTACGATCAAAGCTGGATGTAACCGGCAGGTCACTGTAGAAAATCAGCGCATTCATTTCAGTACCAGTGAGAATCCGCTGATGATAAACAGCATTTCCAGGCCGCTGTAGATGAAGAAAGGGCAGAGCAGCCGCAGGCGGTAATCCCGCAGGTGCTTGAAGGGCAGCTGGAAGATGTTCCCCCAGCCGATGCTCCGGAGGTCGATCTCCTCCGTCGGTCGGTAGGCGGGGCCACACAGCAGCAGGAACTGTGGGAAGAAAACACACTGATTATAGGTCATGCTGAGTGAAGATAACGCTGAGTAAAGTAAATATTCTCCGCATCACGAGGAGTTTGGACTGTTTGGGAAAGCAGTCATGACAGCTACGGCCACTAAAGGTGTTGAAGTTAGTGGTTGCAACATGACAAAATGTGATAAAGTTCTCCAAGAATAAATACTTAAGGCTCTATTTCTATTTTGCAGTGAATAATTTACGTTTTTCCGATTATGTCTTATTATTCCTCTTCGGTGAGAAAGCTTGAGGTCAAATGTTTGACGCCAGAGCAAGAAGTAACCACACACAAGACCAGCAGCTTTCAAATGACCTGTTATTGAAAACAGTGGGTAAAACAGGAAGCGGTGCTGCTGCTGCACACAATGAATAATAACAATGCGGTCTAATGGGATCTCGACAAGAACTGAATGTAGGAACTGTATTTGACTTTTGCCACTTATAAGATGCAGATTCAAGAAGCATGCAAGGAGTGGAGAGTAAAAAAACTAAAACAACTTATTAAATAGCTACGATCGTTCTTCAAATAATGACTCTTAGTACGACTATCAAAGAGATTTTTGTAGTTTAAAAGAACCACAGCAAAAAGATCATATTATTGATCTAAACTCTAAAGAATAATGTAAAATTGTCCCCTGGCGCATCTCTTACAATAATCATGGCGAGGAAGGCGAAACCCATCAGGATGCTCTCCACCTCGATGAGCAGCATGGAGCGGGGCAGGTTTCTCAGAACGGTGCTGTTGAAGCCCGGGATGATGCCTTTGATTGCAGCACCTGAACGTCGGATAAAAAGGCAGGTTTGATCGTAGAAAACAGCTGCAAATATGAAGATTTACACCAAAGGCGTTTGGAAAATTCTGCTTTCAGTTTCTCAGAGATATAAATAAAGTTAGTTTCAGTGTGTGTGACAAAAAAAAGGGAAACTATCAGAGGTGGTGGTTTTTCAAAGAGAGTTCATGTTTAAGGCTTTGTATGTTATAAAGTTGCATGAACTGGAGGAAAAGTCTGCACTTCCACTTTAAGAAAATAAATCAAACCGACTGTAGATGAGTCCCTGAACCCCAAGGCAATACAAACCAGTGAAGGCTTTATGGATTGAATTAAAAACAGTTTAAAGAGAAACTCTGTGCAAGAACAACTGTAGGAAGAGTTGATGTGGGTTTACAGAAGATGAACTTCCTGAGAGGAGCAGACCCATCTTAGAAACCAGTCTGGCTGCAAATAGCAGCAGGGTTTTCAGTTCCTCATGAAGAGGTTCGCTTTTTTCTGAAGGACTAAAATGTCCATTTAGCCAGGTTGATTTTCTCATCAGTGAATCGTTTCTGTGTTGCTTTGGCCTCAAGTTTAGGATACTTATCTTGCTGAAAGACCACATAACATCATTGTTTTAGTTTTTTCACAGAATCCACCAAATTTCTACATAAGGACTTTTAGTATTTCAAACTATTCATGATGTCATTCACTGTAACAGCATTTGAAACAAAAAAAACAGACCCACAGCATCACAGATTCTTCACCGTACTCAGCAGTAGAGTCCATTCTTTGGCATGTTTGTTACACAAAAGTTCAATCTAACAGGATTACATGACTAAAAAGGACAGCAGTGCACAGCAGAAAATATTTATATTTGTAGCAAAAGCTACCAACTGCAGTATTTTTGGCACATCGCACTTCGATGTATGAAATAAACACTTTAAAGTTTAAACTCTGACCCCTACGCAACGCCCATGCACTGACAGCAACTTGACAAAATGTTGCCTGCTACTTACTTAACACGTCAGTCTTTAGAAGCTAAATTAATCTTAGTGCCATTTTCTTTCCTGTTTTTTTTTTGTTCTAATTGTAAATATGTGCAACTTTGAAGAAGTAGGTGAATACATGCAGCTATTTTCTAATTTATGAACCTCAACACTTGACACGTTATTTTGTCTTTCCCCTTTCTGAGTATCACCCAAGACAAAAGTGGACCACTAGGTTACATGATACCTACAGACCAAGTGAGCAGAATAAAGTCTGTTTTTTATCATTTTCAGGGTGAGATGAGAATATGATTTTTTTTTTATACATCTAAACTAAGAAGTGCTAATAAGTAATAAATAAATGATGTAGCGTGTTTAACACTAAACAAGAAGAAATAAATGTGGTAACTTAATAAAGAGCCTTAATCTATTTTTTCTGTCCATGTGTTACACTTTTTGGCTGGAGTTTTGTTTTTCCTCTCTGCTAAAACATAATCAAATGCAAATAAGTTGATGAGACATAACTATTCTCAGACTGAAATATTATTTTCAGAGTTTCTTCAGTGAAGTGCTTTCCTCATCTGTCCCCATTCAAAACGGGATGCGTTTACCACATGTTTTCACGTTGCAGAGAACGTGGCTGTTTTCATGCAGGTATTCGTGGAGGACGAGACGCATGGGGAACTCGGCGAAGACGAAGCTCAGCTGACATGGAAGAAAATACAACAAAGACTTTTACGTTGATTTTCTCTTCGTGTGCAGTGTCGGTTTTACACAATATGACGCGCGGGTGGAAAACGGTTGCAGAGCAAGGGCAAAGGTACAGACTCACATTGAAGATGACAAAGAAAATGGACTGGAAGGTGATGATGTAGCTGTAGCACGCCCCCTTTGGAAGCTTCCTCTGCTCCTGAACGTGCTCCTCCTTGTAGTTGGCGTATTCATAGTACTGCTGCGCCATCCTGCAGGAGGGGAGGGGAATGTGTGTGGCAGAATGAGCTTTACAACAAAAAAACAACACATTTATTTAAACACAAACACATAGATAAATTATGCCTTTTCTGGGGACAATTTTATAGAGAAAACAACTCTACTGGTCTAAGATAGTCTCCAATGTCAGCTCCTAGTTGGGCTTATGATCGCATCACAAATAGTAAAACAATATAAGTTAAAATGCAAACACAAAAGACAACACAGACTCATCATCAAATTGATGATACAAACACATCATCAAATTGATTAAAAAATGGAGGCAGTCGGCTGTAACGGCATAACTTGTCAGTCCTTACACACTACTTCACTTTTAAACTCAAATGATGCTAAGCTGTGTTCATTTTTAGATCTGCAGTGAAGCAGCTCCTCATACTGACACCTTACACAGAAAAGGACCTTTCTTCCAGATTTCTTACAGAAAGGGCCACACACCTCCTACCGGATGCTCCATGGGTTACTGAACCGGTAGCTCTAAGAGGAACCAAAACATCACGAGGAGCCGGACCACTGAAGATTTTCAAAACCAGTTTGGGATTTCACAGGGTGAGTTCAACATTGTCGTGTAGGCTTTCTGTCCATGATTTTTTTTCACCCCTTTATATACAACATCATCATGCTCAGCAGCCTGATTTTTGTAGGTCCTGCCACTGACAAAGGTCTCAAGTTAAAGTAAAAGTATGTCTCTTTGCTGACAACTATGCTGTATTGTGTAGAATACACAAAATAGTGAATCATGGTTGCTATCTGACCAGGTGACTATGGAGGCAGGAGGTCTGATGATGTGATTTTTGTTTGTTTGTTTGTTTGTTTGTATGTAATTCATTTGCTTCCCTAGTTTCTCTAGTAGGTGCTATTTTATGGATACTCATATCTCAAATTAACTGAAAATAACCAAAACACCTTAGCACAGACACGGTGCTCATATTCAACCTGAAGCAAAAGGGATCAGTAAAAACATGTCTTCTTTAGCGCTTTGCGCCTCACCTTGTTATGTAACTTCCCAAAGAAGCCCAAAAAGGCACAATGGCCACACCAATGGCTACAGCTGAAGGGACTAATGTGTAGTACCGCTCCCAGTAGTTGGTTGAGACAAATAGTGCATAGATTCCTGAGGCCAGAAACATCATCCACTTAATGCCAAGAAACCTGAGAAAGAGATAAAATGTGGGGAAAAAAAGAACCATTAGATAAAGATAAAGGGATTCATGTTTACTTTATGTCTGTGTGACTCTACCTGATGAGTACGGGGGTGTAAAGGAGGCCGATAATCGGGGTCACGTTGATGCCCATCAGCATCTTCCGGTCGATGTCCTCAAGACCGAGGTTGCTGTATTTTACCTCACGGTAGGTCATGTCATAATGAAGAGTCAGCTGCATCTGTAAAAGGCCTAGAGAAAACAAACGCAGGATGATATAAACACATCTTAATCTGTGCTATTTTATCTCTTTTCTCTGTCGAGGTTCCAGCACATCTTTCCAAAATTCCAAACGCCTCCAGACTCAAATTTCCAGAAGTTTCAGTCCTTTGGATGGATGGATGAATGGATGATTAGACGCTCACCCATATAAACACTGTACACAATCATGGCTCCAAAGCTGCTGGCAGCAACATTCTTGATGACTCCCAGCCGCTTTCTTCTGTAGTACTTCCTTTCTTCCTCCTCCTCATTGTACTGTGCCTGTGGGCCCAGAAACTCCTCCATCTGAGCAGAAAAAGGAAGCTACGTCAGCAGCTGTTTACGTCAAGAAATCAGCATCTTTTACTGATCCTAATCAGAGCTCACCTCTCCCTCTTGCCCCACATCCAGCAGTTCGCCCGCGCCACCATTGGGAGGCGCTACAACCTGATTGCTATCCTCAATGAGCTGTTCTCCCACAGTTGCCTCCATCTGGTGACCAAAAGAGGGCAGTGCACAAGATTAAAAAAAACTTTACTTCTTAAACTGATTGAAATTGTATTTAACGATTTGTTGAAATAGCAATAAATACTTTTTTTTAAATAATTTGAGGCACATTTATGCATTATGTAGTCTGCTAGGAATCAAACCCTTCTTGCTGCAAGGCAACAGCAGAAGGGTTGCTGTTGCCACTGTGCAGCCTCATTCTGTACCCCACCACACCAATATTTTGTTAATGATTAATTAACAAAATAATCTGCTATTAAAAATAACAGTCCTATTACTACACAAGTTATCAATATAACTAATAATACCTGGAGATTAGATTACTTCTAAAGTTGAAATTAAGAACAACAAATGGATGGAAACAAAAAAAATTGCCTAATAAACACACAATATCAAAGATTATTGACACGTTTTAAAAAGTAAACAGCAAAAACAATTATTATTTGAAAGCAACAGCCTTTTTGACAATGTACCTTTCAGTTATTACGATCATCCTTCATCCTGTCAGATGTTTCAATTTTATTATTATGGAGGGGGTTTTTTTTCTTATTTGTCCTTATATTTGTGTTTTGTTTGAATGTTATTTGCATGTGGATTAGTTATTTTCTTTTTTCAACTTATTTTAGCCGACTATTTTCCAAACATAACCTCTTTCCTGAAGTATATTAATAGCAATGGGAATTTCTCCTTTCTTTTAATAAATTTTTTTAATAAGTAAGGAAAAAACTTTGTGGTTTCAGGTTTCTAAATGCAATCTGAGGGGATTTTTTTCTGTTAATCTATTTGCTTTTCATGCAAATGACCAATCAAAACAAAGTTATTTATTAACTGACACAGAATCAACACAGTGAAACACAGTGGTGGCAGTATCATGCTATGGTAAGGTTTTTTTTTCTCTTTCTCTTTTGTAGTACAATTAAATAAAAACACAGCCTTAATGATCTTCCTTTGTGCTGGTTTATTAGATAAATTTCAATAAAATACATGCAAATGTATGAAATGTGAAGACGTTCAAGGAGTGTGAATATTTTTGGCAGGCACTTTACAATTTTAGCACATATTCAGGAGAAAACTTGAAATCAGAAATCAACGCCATCACGTGTCAATGATCTATGATGAAATTAATATTTGCCAAATTAACAATAAGCAAAAAACGTGACCTTTTTATAAAAATCAGATATATATCCATCGGTTGGATCATCAAAATTTCATGTGTTTATTACATGCATACGGAAATTTAAAGTAAAATAAGCCATCAAATTCTTAAAAACTGGGCCAGGGCACAAGCTATCATCAGCTTTGCGCTTTAGGAACTGACTTTAAAGTTTATGAGGAAGTGATGACCAACTGTTTTCGCAGGTCACGGAGGCCTTAAGTCTTTAAAACCATTTAAAACTATATAACAAGAGCTCTCCCGTCCTAAATAAATGTGTATAGTTTCAAATAATTGTCAAAAAAAAAATGTTCTTTTTTTATTTCTTCAGCTGTACAAGCGTTTTCTCTTGTGCTAGAACTATTTCTCTTGGAAACAAAGTTAAGTTTTAAAATATTTTACCAACTGTGCACACGTTTGTTGGCCCTTAATAATGCAGTCATTAGGCGTGGGTGGGCTAGTACCATGGCAGCTGGTTTCGTGGCGCACAAACGTCCCATTCCAAACCTGAAACCTGCTCCACCCCACAGTCTGAGGCGTGTTTCCAGCTATCCTTCATATTACAGCCTCCTTGTTTTATTATCTAAGAAAACAGTGAAAATTCACTCACCACGTCGGTCTCAGGATTCTCTTGCAGAATGAACAAAGTGTCCACCTGCCAGGCAGAGACATGCGGACGCCTCCCCCCTCTCTGCTACTTCTAGTCTCAGTTGTTTGTTGGTTCCCGTTTCTGAAGCAGAGCCTCGCAGGTATAAATAAAAAGTTTCACGGGGGAAACGAAAGTTTGCTCTCTCACTTCCTCACCGCTGCTGCGTCGCAGTTTGTCTTAAAGGTACAGACACACTCATGCTGAGGAAGCCCTGCCTATACTCTCACGGCAACACACCGATGAACTTTTGTTTACCTCCCAGCAGCTGAATCCTTCCCATTTAAAGAGAGACGCATGTTGGGGCAGACTGCTGGTACGTGTCAAGAAATTAGAAGATGGTCGACAAATTCATTTCCAATCTGAAAATGAGTAAAATCAGAGTAAAATCTGATTATGTTTGTTAGTGTCGCAATGCCTTAGAGGTAATTTACAAATACAAATCTACATAAAATGCTTTTTAATATTTGGTTGAGGCTCTTTTGGCATCAGTGCAGGGCTGGAGATGCCTCGCCTGTAGTGCTGATCAGGTGTTAAGAAGTCCAGTTTGCTTTATTTGACTTTCAGCTCATTTTCTCTGAGGCTAAGGTCATGAATCTGTTTGTACTTATCGCAGCCAGGTGGCAAGTCCTGATGGAAAATGAAATCAGCATCTCCACAAAGCTTGTCAAAGTCCCTTCGCTGAAAAAATGCTGTCTCTGGTCTTGATAAAAAAAAATAAATAAATAATCTGGACCAGCAGGTGACACAAGTTATCACAGACAGGCTAGAAAAAACTTCACTGGACCTCAAGCAGCTTGGATCCTGTTCCTCTCTGCTCTTCTACCAGACTCTGGGTCCTTGGTTTTAAAATGAAATGCAAAAATGGCTTTCCTCTGACTGAATCCAGCTGCTGCCCACACCTCATCAATCTCAATCCTTGAACGGGCTTTGAGTCACAATCCATTCAATGTTGTTTCTTATGCACCTTTTTATGCCTTTTCTATGTTTTTCTTCCACTAGCTTTTTAAAATAATACCGCCCTGTGTGAACTGTCTGCTTCCTGAGCAGGGACCTTTGCAGCTGAGCTTACCCTCATTGGGGAGGACGTCAATGACTGTCCACTGGACAGCTGTGAATAAACAAATTGGAACTGATGGGTCAGGAATGCGGGTCAAAACTGAAAGATCGAGTGGGCTGTAAGAGAACGCAATTTTTAAACAATTTTTTAAAATTTGACCTTCACAAACCGAAAAACTTATTTTAATAATATGAAAAAACAGTCTGACATATACAGAGAGAGAGAGAGAGAGAGAGAGAGAGAGATCATCTATAAATCCCTGTAGATACAAAATGTTCTACATTTTTGGAATCAGTAGTTTTTATTTTTTTAATGTAGAAAATTTGCTTAATTTATAGTCAGGAAGAAGTGGATACAGTCCCTCGTTCATTTGCATTTATGTATTTAACCCACGTTAATGAATGAGTGTACACAAGACAAAAAGTTGTGGTGTTTGTGTTTACTATGAAAATAAAATGAAAAAACGTGACTGACCAATAATTTGCAATGAGCCAGTTTTTCATTCTTGTACCATTCTTGTATTGTGATGCCAAAACATAATGTTCCACAATTAAAATTTCATTTCCGTTGCTCCTATGTGGCATCCTAACTATGAGGGGAAAATGAATTAAGTTTTTATTCGCTATAAGCCATAATAATCAAACACAAATAAAAACTTGGAATATAGCCCTTTCAACCACTTTTCTTATTGAAATACTGACAAATGTTTTTAATTTTGGCTAATTGAGATGCATCAAGCATGGGACAGATTCAGTTTCTCAGAAGATAAACACAGTTCACTGTTTTTATTGAGTGTGGTTAACAACAGACTGCAGTTTGCACATGAACAAATTTTAATCGACGAAACACTGTGGTCCGCTAAGAGCCAAACCAAGTCAACACAAGCACAACAAAGAGCAGAGTCCATTTTATCTGGATGAACCAAACAGCAACAGCTGGACATGAAAAAAAAATGATGAGTAAATGTTGGGTAACACTTTATTTGAAGGGGTGTGCATAAGACTGACATGACACTGTCATAAATGTGACATAACACCTGTCATGAACATGAAGGCGTCTTTATGAATGTTTATGACAGTTGTNATGAAGTGTCATTCAGTAAATGACACTTTTAATGAAAAGTTGCTCTAAAAGTTACATTGAAAGTCCATTAAAAGTGCCATGATTTTTGTAAATTATGGCACAAATAATTTACAAAAATCATTATGGCACAAATAATTTACAAAAATCATTATGGCAATTTTAATGGACTTTCAATGCAACTTTTAGAGCAACTTTGCATTAAAAGTGTCATTTACTGAATGACACTTCACGACAACTGTCATAAACATTCATAAAGACGCCTTCATGTTTATGACAGGTGTTATGTCACGTTTATGACAGTGTCATGTCAGTCACACCCTTTCAAATAAAGTGTTACCAAATGTTGCATAGTGTCTTGGTTAAAAACACTTCATCTCAATCAACACAGCCACTGTTTTCCAAATTAGTTGTAGACTCAGTAGAGCTTTAACTATGCAGGCAGAGCAGACCCTAGAGTATTTGGGGCCCTGGGCAGATCACGCCCACCAACCCAAACCCTTATATCTCTTTTAGTCTCAGTTTGACAGTGTGATGATTTCCTGCTAAGATAAATTGACACCATCACAGAATGAATTCCTTGAGCCTAGAATTAATAGTTTTCCATTAATTACTAAAGAAATAGCAGCAAATACATTTTGTAGGCAGATTTAGTTCGCAGACTTATTTATTCTGTCGACAGTCATATCTGGTGTGTGGTTGTTAATACCGTCTAAAGTCAGGACATATGGGCCTGAGAGCTTATAAGAAAGTTAAAAAAATTAAAAATTATTTGTAGTCAAGTGTAAATAAAAAAACACACATCCAGTTCAAATGTAAGCAAAACAAATAATTAAGTTAGGTCCATTAAATCATGACTGTTAACCATCTTTCTCTACCACATTTGTTAGTTCTTTAAATCACATCTTACCTTACATTTAAATTTTTTTTTCAATTTAATATTCAAAAATTTGGGAACCAAATACAAAAGTAAGCTTATTCTTAATAAATATGTTTCCAAATCTGAAATTTTGAGACTTGTATACACAAGGGGCCCCCTGCTGGTCTGGAGGCTCTAGGCACCAGCTAAAGTTACTTATATCTTGGACCGGCTATGTCTGCGACCTTATGCAATATTAGGAGTTTACTTTTTTTTTTGAAACACAGAAAAAAAAAATGTGAAAGGCTGACTGAGATCATTTCATAATCAGTAACAGCTCAGTAGCTTGAATGGTTCTGGACCAGAGACAGCTGGAAATTAGCCGTAAAACTGAACGTAAAATGTCCTTCTTCCCAGGCGGTTCTCTGCAGGTGAGGTCTTCAGGCAAATCTGAAGAAACCAAATCCAGAGAGGCTTGTGGAGAACCACTTTCCTCCATTACTTCTTCAGTGCTGCCTTTTGCGTCATCCTCTGATGCAAAAGAGGAGGAATCTCATCTTAATGGACCCTCAAAACCTTTAACTTAACTTTTTTTTTATTTACCCACCCTCTTGTTAAGACATGAGTCTGTTAGATCCCACACATCCCAGCCCAAACTCTTGCATTTCTCTACACAGACGTCGTTTTCTTCAAAGTCTCTATCCGCTCCCCACCGCCGCTTTCCTCATCATCTCCTCATCCTGCACAGAGAGCTCTGTGAGTTTACGTCCCAGTCTCTCGTGAAGGTCCAGGTACTTGGCCACGCAGCGGTCCAGGCACACCGACTCGCCCTTCGTCAGCTCCGCTTCCTTGTAGTGTGGCGGGACGCACTTCCTGTGGCAGGCATTTGTCATCCTGAGAACAGAAAAAGTCCACACTGTTGATTTAATACAGACAAAAAGTCGAAAAAAAAGAAAAAGAGAAGTTACTTCATTTATGCTCAAAATCTGCTGTCTGGTAACCCTCAACAACACCACCTGCTGGATTTTAATTTTAATTCATTAAATGAATTCATTTGTTCAAACAGGAGGATAATGAATTTCAATGAAATTTCGCAAAACGTTATGGCCGACAAGAATGATTGCTGGGCTCAAAAAGTGCAACTTCAAATTATAAACATAACATTTCACAAAACAACTTTTCCAGACACTTCGATTTAAACATTCACTAATAAATCAAAACCTTTGTAAGAAGTGCTGCACGTGGTAGAAACAGGACGATGCACCGAGAAACTCAAAACGGATCGTAAAACATAGACAGAAAGAAAAACTATCAGCAATGTGAGAAATATTACTTCAAAGAACCCAACGACTGAAAAGAAGCAGCATGAGTCAACCAGAGATGACAGGAATGAATCCACGCACCCCTGTTGTGAATCAATTTAAAACAAACTCAGACAACTTCCGGAAACATTTCCTGTCTTTTATTCATGCTGGCCTAATTTTCACACACTCATCCATTTTGAGGAGTTTCTGTTTCTCATTACACACCTGCTGCACACCTGACGTCAGCAGGATGATTTCAGACTGAGCACATTTCAGGAGATCTGGAGTGAGTGGGTCCAGATAAAATGGAAAAATGTTGTAGATCAGGGAACAAGTTTGGTACATGTTTTGAAAAAAATGTTTTTTCCCCACTCTACAACCTTGCACCATATTGGGAACATGACATCAATCAACACAGAAAGTCACTTGATGTTTACTGAGCTGCACTTCCACTGTGTTGTGATCAACAGGACGAGGGAAGCTGATGAAACTCTTTCTTCATTCACATGTTGCATTAATTACAAACGGTGTGCATTATTGTGCTGTTGGATCCTACAGTCTTAGCTGGAACACTCCCCGTCTCATCACACCAGTGCTACCAGGAGGGCTTGAATTGTTTTTAGCAAACATCACATTCTCACAGTGCCATCTTCTGAAATTAGATAATTAAAATAAATCTTACTCTCAACACAAAGTAGCAGAAATGTGTAAAAGTGTAATAAAATGACATGATTTCCATTTTGTCTGCACCTGTGTTTCTTACCTGACACACTCTGACACACTGAAGAAAAATATTCACACAGCATGATACTACCACCACCATGTAAAAGGTGTATTCACGTTTCCTTCTCTGTTGCCAAAACATTTTTTTTTTTTTTACTTTTAAAAATGTCTTTTACACCGCATAACAACTTGACTCTCAATAAATTACCCTTTGAGCTGGCTTGGCTTTATACAAGAGTAGACACTCATAAAATAATTTGTTTTCTGTTATTAATTTTTATTTTATTGAAATACTGTAATTTAAGTTCAACACATTATTGATTGTATATTTTATTATCTTATAGAAAACTCACCTTAAGACCGGGGCAGGATTTCAAAAAGAATGCAACACTTATCATTTATGCTCAGCCTATAAATCGTGACCTTATGACTGAGTTACTGCTGACGTTCATTGCAAGCCATGTGGTTGTCCTTCTGGAAGAAGGGCTTAGGTCGAACCAAAACTTAACTTTTGAATCCTACATGCAAAAAATATATCAAAATGCACATCACCCTGAACAAACCGTTCTCATGCTGAAACATGGTTGTGACAGCATCATGCTGTGGGGATTCATTTTAGTCGAGACTGAGAAATTGTACATAATTAATAGGATGATGATGATGAATGGACCCTTAACATACAGGCGGAGCTACAGTGGATTGGTTTGGATCAAAGGATCTGCTTACATTAAGTGTAACGTGACAAATGTCGAGGGGTGAACATACATTAGTTATGGATTGCGCAATTTAAGATACAAAATGTACGACTTTATAAGTTGTAGGTGGAAAACAGTCCTTCTGATCAGAATATATTCTAGATCAACCTAAAACACTTGAATGATCGACATTCACCTTATTTATTTTGTGTGTGCGTGCAAAACTCAGCAACGGTTTTGGTTTGCTAGCAGAGCATTTACCGGTTGTACATGTCAGCCATCATCTCCACCTCCAGCTCCGCCGCCAGCTGCTGCGCCTTCATGGGGTCCATGTCGCCGTCTCCGTGCTGCTCAGCCCCGGCCTCTAACCGCAACCCTCGCCGCTCCTCTGACCCTCTGCTGCGGACAGAAATCCCAGCCGCTGCCTCTCCTGTAACCTTCAAAATCTGCAGCTAAAACACGTGCGGCGCGTTTCCTCTGTGACTTCCGCTGGCAAGACAACGTAAAACGAGGGCTTCCAAAACAGTGCGCCCCCTAGAGGCGTTTCTCTGCACGCCGAGGAAGAGAAGGCAAAAACCAGACATGAAAAGACAACGTTTTAATTAACATAACATTATATTTTACACATAAGACTGTTTTCAACTTAATAGCTTCTAAATTTTGTCAAAGAAATTAGTAAAATTTATTTGAAAAATATAACCAACAGTGAGAACTTTCCTCCTGCCTGTTAATACAAGAAATGTAAACACCCTCCACTCGAACTGTACATTTTTAACTAAATCTGGTGGAAAACTAAATTCTGATTCAATAAAAATAAAGCATCTGCCAGATAGAAACAAGTGAACTCCAAAAATTATATAAAAATATGTAACTAAATTAAGTGCTGAACAAACATGGTGAAAAAAAAATGAAAAAAAAACATAACTAAGCATTATTCTCCTTCATCTCCTATGACATCTATTTCAATAACATCCTCATCCTCCTCTTCTTCATCTGGAATGACGACGACCCTTTCCTCTAACTCTCTGGTTGAAAACTTGTCAGGAGAGTAAAGTATGACGTCCACCTCTTCGTCCTCCTCCTTCCCGTTGCAGCCGGACAGGGTGCTGCCGCCATCACCTGGTGACACAAACAGTGCTGGGTATTTTCTAATGGCTTTCTTTTTTGCGACGTCACTCTTCACATGCAGCAGAAATCGGGTAAAACAGAGCACACTGAAAACGTCCGAGTGTGTGTGAAAAGTTTGTTCCTGCATCGACAAACCAAGATGAGTTTTTGTCTCAATATGGAAAGCTGCAGAGCTTTCCATATGTCCATTGTTAAGATTAGTTATGTGACATTCAGGGCATTTGACATCCGTTTAGGAGACCGCACTTTGTCACACCGATGTTTTTCACCTTTTCACAAATGTTCAACAACAGCGAATGTGTTGAAACCTGATAAGCTCTGTGGATGGAAGACAACAATTTTCCAGTTGAGTGAGCTTCCTGAACAGATAAAGAGCCTGATGCTCATAGTTGCTCTCCGTCCGATCTGACTGAGCTCCAGTTGTTTTGCAAAGAACAGGAAACATCTAAGACCCCAAGAAAGATGGCAGACCTGAAAAGACCCGACTACCAATGTACAGCACGTTGTTCAGATCATCGCTTCGAAAATAAAATGAAAACCCAGTGTCATTTATCATTAAGTGTTGGTTTATGTTCCTGTACCACATACAGTTACGCTGGAGTTTGTGCTTGTAGCACGAGGGAATGCTGAGAAGTTCAAGAGGTGCACGACCTTTTCAGCTTTTTAAATAATTACATCTCAGTCTTTCGGTGGCAACACACAGACTGGGACGCTTTCACAGTCAGTGAGGTTTTAAAACCTAAATCAAACCAAAAACACTGATGAAAATCAAACCTCTTCATACCTTCATCAAGACTTGTAGCAGACAGTTTCTCCTCTTCTGGGACGTCGCAGGAAGAGGCCGGTTTGTCCTCCTCGCCCGAACCGCAGCTCTTCCTGGCCTCTGAGCTGCTCATTGCATCCTGCTGGCTCGTTTTACACGCAGCTGCCGACGTGTTGGGAAGCCGGATGTGATTTTCATCAACTGCAGCATCAAAAAGTGCCCGGCGGTGAGTCTCTGAGGCGCCACTCTTGTCTATTTCTGCCTGCTTCTCTAAGTCTCCAACATCCTCAGGTTTGTTTCTGTCTTGGACTTCAGTCCCTTTCCTTGTTTTGGAGTGTTTGCGATTAATCAGTTTTTGGAACTCCTTCAGAGTCACCATCCATGACTGCTTCTGTGGTTCCCCACTTTTCATGCTATCCGTTTCGTTTTTTCCAGAGCTCTCATCACTAGCGGTCCTCTTCAGCTGCCCCGCCTCTCCCTCGCATGCAGTGCCCATCAGCTTTCCACACTTTACGTCTTCCATTGGCGATTCCTTCTCCGATATTTCCTCGCCGGCCTCAATGTGACCCTTGATTTCAACGAAGGCGCCGGCATCTTCTGGAAACTTCTCAAGTTTTATTTTAGGCGGTCTCCCACGTTTCCTCTTGGTCACGGTCGGATCTTGTTTGTGCGCTATGACGGCCCGGTGGATCACCGGAATTAAAACGCAGCACTTATCTGAGACGGCGCTGCTCGCGCAGCGCTCAGACTGCTTCACAAAGCCCCTGGTCCTGATCCGCGGCTGTTTGGCGCCGAGGTTTCCGGGCTCTCTGGATTTCTCGTTGCCGGTGGCTGTCGATGCTGGCGGGGGATTGCTTAAGGAGCTGATGGCGATTTCCCTCTGCTTCATCAGAACATTGTTGCACGACAAACTCACGGAACAAACTGTTGTTGCTGCATTTCTGACTTCTGGGTCCAGGGATGAAACTTTAGGCAACTCTCTCCAAGAATCCGGCCGCCGCCGCCTTCTCCTCTTGGGCGGTGCCATGTCTTCTGCAGCGTCTTGTTTGTTTTTCTTCCTCTTCATGGCGTCGGTTTTTCTCTCTCGTTTGGGTTTTAGTTCTCCCTGTCCCACGCTCTTCGCAGACCCTGCCTCTCCTTCGTTTTTCAGCTTGAGCTTCCTGAAGCTTTGCGACTGCTCTGCGTCGCTGCCCGTTTCCAGCAGCTCGGTTTTACCCGCTGTGATGGCGTTGAGCGGAAAGGTCAGCATGCAGGCGGTCTTTGTGAGCCAGGGCAGAATTTGAACATCATTTTCCATCCGACCCGAGGCGCTGGTGTCGGACTGTTGGTGACCTGTCGGGGGCACCAACGGGGAAAGACATTGCGGCAGCCTCAAGTCCTCCATAGTGGGCAGGGAAAACGCTTCGGCTGACTGCGTGTCGCTCTCATGCGAGAGGGACAAAAACTCGATACTTTGGTCTTCCTGGCAGAACGGCTGCTGCATCATCAAGTCGTGAAGTTTCTGCCCGTTGGGGAAACACGAAACGGGATACGGGGAGCTCTCCCCTCCGGTCCAGCTCAGCCCGTCCATCGGTCCAAAGGATCTGAACTCTGAGTGCTGCGGTTGCTCTGTCTGCAGAGCCGTGTGTGCAGCTGAGGGGTTTGTGTAGCCTGGTTGGTTCTGAGCTCCAAAACAGTAATGGAGCCCTAGGAAACCAGATCATCAGGGGTTAAAGGTCAACATGAGGGAGGGAGGAAGGGACGGGGAGAGGAGAGACAGAGACAGAGAGAGGGAGAGAGAGAGAGAGAGAGAGAGAGGAGAGTCCGTTAAGTTCGGGTTTTGGTTTGAAAATAAAAATCCATCCCGGATCATTTTTAGACAACAAATGTTCTGATTAGGGATCCAACTAATGATTATTTTTGGCCATCAAGTATTCTGATGGTTAATCGGATAAAACAACTGCTCATACAGCAGATTTTTCATTTAACCATTGAAAACTTTTAATGTAATAGTAGAAATAGATTAAATGATGCAACTAAACAAATAATCCAACTCCTTTTTTAAACAAGACAAAATGTATTACCTACAATTTAATAACAGCATTTATTTAGTGAACGCTTGATCATTTGTACCAAAGGATTCATATGCAGCTAAAACTATCATTGTGAAATCAACATGTGAAAAGCTCGACCCTTTTTGCTCGACTTAACATACATACAGTAGGCCTGGTACGTCGATTTTATTTAACTTTTTTTTTTCTGCAGAATTTGAACCAGGTGACGGTAAAACTGCCACCTGAGGAGTTCTGGGTAGAACATTTCTATATATTTTTACAGTTTTGACTTACTTACTGCTCTGAGTACACGTTGTTCTTTCAGCAAATTGACTTTTTTATTGTCTGTATACTCCAATTAACAATTAATCAATTACTAAATTATCGAACGATTACTTAAATAATCGATTAGTCACAATTAATCGCTTCAGCTCTGGTTTGGTCACATTAATAAAGCAGTGTCAAACAATATCAACCTGTGTCCGTGTCTGAGTGGCTCCCCTGCCTCCCCAGGTCTTGGTAGAAAACACACTGCTCTGCACAGACGTCGGAGAGCGGCCCCGCCCCGCTCTCCACACCAGGGACTTGGCAGAAGGTCGGCACGCCGTCGTGGTTCGCGTGCGTCTTCCTGCAGCTCCTGCCCAGGTCCGGCAGCATGCTCATGCTCATTATGATGTTCTCCAACAGCTTGTCGATCTTCTCATCGGATTCCTCCGTGGGACCCTGAGGCGGCGAGCGACCCTCGGACTCCAGCTCGCTGCTGCGGCTCAGAGAGAGCCAGCCGCTGGAGCGCACCTCCGAGTCCGAGCTGGTGTTGGCGTGCTTGGGAGGCTGGGGGGAGGAGGTGAAGACAGGCTGGACCCTCAGGGTCTCTGGCTTCTGGACCGGATGGACAGAGCGGGCAGGGGTGTGGACAACTTTGGGAGCAGATTGAGGGGGTTTCCGGTTGGAGCAACTCTACGGAAACGGACACGAGTCGGATTTTAGGAACACGTTGTTTTTTTTTCTATTTTTGTTTTTTATTTTGCGTTTAAATCTAATCATTTTCAACGTGAATCTGCACTGACTGAACTAGCCTGAATGAAAAAAAAAAAAAAAAAAAAGAACCTCAAGAGTCGGTCAAAGTTCAGCCATGGTGGCATAAAACAGATTAAGCTGTGATATTATGCTGTGTATCTACCTGATTCGGGTTGGTAGGAACCGATGCCGACTCGTCTGCGTCTTCCACGATCTCCCACTCTTCTCCTTTAGTCCTCCTCCTCAGTTTCACCTGAGCCAAAGATGACTGAAATAATGTAATCAAACCACAGCTCTGTTCTTCCTATTTAAGCTCCTGTAGGTTCATTGCTTTGAGCATTACAATTTGCAGCCACGAAACAAACACATCAAATAAAGTTCTGATTACTTTTAAGTCTCTACTGTCTCTATTTCACCAGGTTGCCTCCTGAATTTTTCCGCTATGTATTTTTGGTAAAGTGGGAAGAGGATTCGCCAGCATACAGAGACGTACTGGAAGTATTACTCCAGGATGCAAAAACATCCATTAAAATTGGCTTTAATTTG